CTATCTTTTGTTTTATGATGTTATGATATTGATATGTGCTCCGTGTGTATATATATGTATTAGGATCGTTCCATGTGAACGGCATCCCAGTTCAGGTATTGTTCGACTCGGGTGCATCCCGATCGTTCGTTTCTCTTGCGCTTAGCAAGAGGTTTCATGAGACTTCAGGCGAGTTAGATTGCCCGTTAGAGGTAGAGATTGCTGACGATCGATCGGTGCAAGCATCGATGGTGTTTCGAGATTGCGTTCTGCGACTGTTTGAGGAGCGTTACCTGGTAGACTTGGTTCCCATTCCATTGCGTGGGAACAAGGTGATTATTGGCATGGATTGGTTGAGCCCTAATGGGGCGGTGATAGACTGCGCGCAGCAGCTAGTGCGAGTCAGGACCCCAAGCGGGGGAGAGTTAGTGATTCATGGCGAACGGCCGCAGTGTGGACCCACTGTATGTTCAGCAGCGAGGGCTAGGCGCTATCTTCAGCAGGGATGCGCGGGATATGTCGCGTATGTGATGGATACCCGGGAGGCGGGTAAGGCGACCGTGAGCGAGGTCCGGTGGTTCGAGATTTTGCAGATGTTTTCCCGGAGGAACTACCTGGGATACCTCCGGAGCGACAGGTGGAGTTCAGGATTGACCTTATTCCCGGTGCGGCTCCGATAGCCAAAGCACCGTATCGGTTGGCTCCTCCCGAGATGCAGGAGTTGTCTACGCAGCTGCAGGAGCTGCTGGACAAGGGATTTATTCGTCCGAGCAGTTCGCCTTGGGGAGCCCCGATTCTTTTGTGAAGAAGAAGGATGGGTCGCATCGGATGTGTATAGATTACCGGGAGTTGAATAAGGTGACGGTGAAGAACCGTTACCCACTCCCGAGGATTGATGACCTCTTTGACCAGCTTCAGGGAGCATCTTGGTTCTCCAAGATTGACTTGCGTTCGGGTTATCATCAGATGAGGGTCAGGGAGGAGGATACGCAGAAGACCGCGTTTCGGACACGTTATGGCCACTATGAGTTTGTGGTGATGCCGTTTGGGCTCACCAATGCTCCTGCCGCGTTCATGGATCTCATGAACCGCGTTTGCAGACCGATGCTGGATCGGTCTGTGATAGTCTTTATCGATGACATCTTGGTTTATTCCAAGACCCAGGAGGAGCATGAGGAGCATCTGAGGGAGGTGTTGGAGACCCTGAGGAGGGAGAGCTTGTATGCCAAGTTCTCCAAGTGCGAGTTCTGGCTGCGCGAGGTGCAGTTTCTTGGGCACCTCGTCAACCAGAACGGGATTCTGGTCGATCCGGCCAAGGTTGAGGCCGTGATGAGATGGGAGGTTCCGAAGTCTCCATCTGAGATTCGGAGTTTCTGGGATTAGCGGGCTACTATCGGAGATTTATCCAGATTTCTCCAAGATAGCCGTACCCCTGACGACTGACGAAGAAAGTCGTGGTCTTTCGGTGGGGACCCGAGCAGCAGGCTGCATTTGAGATGCTGAGACAGAAATTGTGTGAGGCGCCGATCCTAGCCCTGCCTGAGGGCGTAGAGGATTTTGTGGTTTATTGTGATGCGTCCATTTCAGGGTTGGGCGCAGTTCTGATGCAGAGGGGGCATGTCATTGCCTACGCTTCGAGGCAGCTCAAGCCCACGAGGCGAACTACCCGACGCACGATTTGGAGTTGGGGGCCGTGGTCTTCGCCCTCAAGATTTGGCGACATTACCTCTACGGGGTTCGTTGTACCATCTACACGGACCACAAGAGTCTGAGGTATCTCATGGACCAGCCGAATCTGAACATGAGGCAGCGTCGGTGGTTGGATGTGGTGAAGGATTATGATTGCGAGATCCTTTACCACCCGGGGAAGGCCAACGTGGTGGCCGATGCGCTTAGCCGCAAGGCGGCGCCGATCAGGGACGTATGCATGAGGATGACCGTAGTGACTCCCCTATTGGAGCGAATTCGGGAGGCTCAACAGGAGGCTATCAAGGAGGAGCATCGGAAGAGCGAGCGCGTGGTGGGTCAGGTATCCTCCTTTGATTATGATAGCCGGGGTCTATTGACACTACACCATAGGGTGTGGGTGCCGTATCACGGGGGCGTCCGCCAGATTTTGATGGATGAGGCGCACAAGTCCCGATTCTCTATTCATCCCGGGGCGACGAAGATGTATAGGGATCTCCGTCTGAACTATTGGTGGCCCTGCATGAAGCGGGATGTGGCATGGTACGTAGAGCGGTGCTTGACCTGCAGGAAGGTCAAGGCCGAACATCAGAGACCGCATGGTAAGATGCAGCCGTTGGACATTCCACTGTGGAAATGGGAAGATATCACCATGGATTTTATTACAAAGCTTCCCAGAACCGCGCGTGGAGTGGATTCGATTTGGGTCATCGTGGACCGACTGACCAAGAGTGCTCACTTTATTCCGATTCAGGAGAGCATATCGGCCGAGAAGTTGGCCGATATCTATATCAGGGAAATCGTGGCGCGGCACGGGGTGCCGGTATCGGTGATCTCGGATAGGGATGTACGTTTCACTTCCAGATTTTGGAAGAAGTTTCATGACGAGTTGGGCACTCGATTGCATTTTAGCACCGCCTTTCACCCGCAGAAGATGGTCAGAGTGAGCGGACCATCCAGACTTTGGAGGACATGTTGCGGGCGTGTGTGTTGGATTTCGGTGGTAGCTGGGATACCTATCTTCCCTTGGCTGAGTTCTCCTACAACAACAGCTACCACGCGAGTATTGACCGACCACCATTCGAGATGTTGTACGGGCGGAGGTGCAGAACCCCGATATGTTGGGGTGAAGTTGGCCAGAGAGTCATGGGAAGCACCGAGGTGGTGCTAGAGACGACCGAGAGGATCCAGCAGGTTCGGAGCAGACTTCAGACTGCTCAGAGTCGGCAGAAAAGTTACGCCGATAAGCGTCGATCCGACTTGGAGTTCCAAGTCGGGGATATGGTTCTCCTGAAAGTGTCGCCTTGGAAAGGCGTCATTCGATTCAGGAAGCGGGGCAAGTTGGGCCCAAGATTCATCGGGCCGTTCAGGGTTGTAGCCCGGGTGGGCAAGGTGGCGTATAGGCTGGATCTGCCAGCCGAGCTCAGTCAGATCCACAACACTTTCCATGTTTCGCAGCTGCGGAAGTGCCTGGTGGACGATTCAGCGGTAGTACCGTTGGAGGATATTCAGGTTGATGACAGCTTGAATTACATTGAGCGCCCAGTCGCAATACTCGACAGGAAGTCAAAGGCTTTGAGGAACAAGAGGGTAGAACTAGTGAAGGTGCAATGGCAGCACCGCAAGGGTTCGGAATGGACTTGGGAGCCGATGGACGAGATGATGGAGCATTACCCCGAGCTGTTTCAGGATCGAGCAGCAGACTTCGAGGACGAAGTCTAAAATAAGTGGGGGAGATTTGTAGCACCTTTCCGGTATGTGAATTTTATGAGTATTTCCCTATTTTAGCCTTGGACTCGGCGAGTCATAGGTCCGACTCGCCGAGTAGGGACGAGACTCAGGACACGTTTAAGTTGGCGACTCGGCGAGTCCATATCCCGGACTCGGCGAGTCACCGCTGCTGGATGAAACCCTAAATTTCAAGGGTTTGCACCCTATTTAAACCCTCATTCCGCCCCAAACTCGTCCCCATTCACCCCCAGAACTCCCAACATCGTTTATACCCTTATTTCCTTGAGAGATTGAAGTGTTTTGGTGTGTTCTTGAAGATTTTGAGGAGAAAGAAGAGTAGATCAAGAAGAGGAGAAGGAGACCAGGCATCTTTGTGTCATCTCAATGTTTTCCTTGAGGTATAGCTCGTTTCCCCTCTGTTTTCAAGCTTGTAATCTCTTTTAGCTTCATAGAAGTCCTTCTTGAGCTTTTCCCCAAGCTTGTTTGTGCTTTGTGGGTTGTAATAAGTTGTTAGCCTTTAGATCTAGGCATGATTTAGTCCCTGGAGCTTGGATCTAATGCCTTTATCGGGTCATATTGCATGAAAGCCCTAGATCTACCTCTTTTGGTGCACTTTGAGCCCTAAAATCCATATAGGTGAATATCTACACGTAAAGTTGGAAACTTTACGTGTGATTTGTGTCCTAGAAGCCCAGATCTGTGAATGACATGGACTGGAATCGAGCAAATCGGTGTATTTGATGGATGCATGGCTGCGACTCGGCGAGTCGTATATGTGACTCGACGAGTCTGGTCGCGAGTCACTGAATTGGAGACGTATGATAGATGATTGTCTTTGTGATATCATCTAGGTTTGCTACTACATGATATGTTATATGCTATCATGATATGTTATATGCGATAGTAGTAGAGTTCGGTTGTTAGGACCGCAGGGTAGTCAGACACCCCAGAAACGTCTGACAGTATGTGATGATATGTTTGTATGTTGGCCTGTTATGTTATGCGATAGAGGTAGCAGGAGGGGACCAGTCCCCCGAGGATCGGTTTTTAGGACCGATGGGTAGTCAGCACCCCAGAATGGCTTGACACGGGTAGGATGGCACCCCAGAATGGCCGTATGGGTAGGTCGGCACCCCAGAATGGCCGTACCGGGTAGTCAGGCTCTCCAGAATAGGCTGGCAGTATGCATGTTGTGTGTTTGTATGGTATGTGGTACGTTGGGGGAACTCACTAAGCTTTGTGCTTACGTTTTACAGTTTTGTTTTCAGGTACCTCTTCACCGAAGGGGAAGGAGTCGGCGCGGTAGCGGCACATCATGCACACACTCTGGTTTCTGCATTTACGAGAATCACTGGGATTTGTACTCTGATATTTTGATGGGATGTATGGTTTGACTTTTAAAACATGGTTTACGATGTGTTATGGTGTGATGAAACAATGTTTTTATTTATTAATGTTTTCTAAAGTAATATTTTAAAACGAAATTTTCGGACGTGAAAATTGGGACGTTACATATTCTACTAAAATTTAGAGATATCAACATGCGGTATCCTCTTTGCAGTTCATAATGACCAAGTCCTTCCAAGCGAAGGATGAAACAAATGTTAAGTGGGAGCAGAATGAAGATAATCAATGTGTTGAAAGCACATTTGATTCTGATTGCGAAGATAAAATATCACATGCTCCAGTTCTAGAATGAACATGTATTGAACTAGTTCAACATCTGCTAGAAGTTTATTGCTGATGTACCTAGTACCATAAGGAAGAAGAAACTTGGTATTCTTGGACAGTATGGGAGCGTCTGTTCTTCCTGAGGATGATGGTCTATATGGACCAGCTGATGATACAAGGTTTAACTTCTTGACTTTGTTGAGTAGCTGTTGATTTTCCAATTTCACTTCCTGAGCATGAATACCCTTGTGTTTATCAATAATTTCTTGAATTTGCATCAACTCATTGTAGCCAAATTTGACTAGCTCACTAGCAAACAAAACATTAGTATATTTATATTATGTTTTCTTTTTAACCAAGTGAAGTTTTAGTGACTCATTCCTTGGTTTGGAGCATCTCACTTTAATGATGGGATCATGCTTTGTTCTGCGAGTAAGAATGTCTCCAAACTTCTTCCTATCAATCTGGTCATTTAAGTATGAAACAATGTGTTGTTTTTCCACATTATTATTGAAGATATTCTTGACCTGACTATCAGTGCTTTGAACATTAGCACTTTCATCAGCGAAAGCAAGAGCTTGACAAAGTTTGGTACATAGACGCTCTTCTTTTCTTGCTTCTTTATTTTGTCTAATAGCAACATTATACTATAACTTCCTCAATAGGTAACCTCCATGTTTCTTCTAATCCATTTAGATCAAATATCAACTTTCTTTTCTTTATAGGAGGAGGTGCTGAAGGATCACCAATAGCAACAACAGAAGAGCTTCCAGCTTCAACGTTATGAGCTCCCTCAGAGAAGGAAGCCTTTATCTTTTGACGATTGAGTTGTTCATTGGTAGATTCAATGTCACTATTAGTTTCTTGAGGAATCTCCCCCTCAAAGTAAGAATCAGGGTAGACAACATTCAAAGATATAGCAACTTGTGGCACAAAACCAAGGTCAAGAAACCCTTCATAATCATCGGTATTTGATTGGTCACCAGTGTCAGGAATGAGCTAATCATTAGTTGTTGCATCGGCGTTTGGAATATTAGCAACAACAATCTGCTTTTGAGGACCAGCTTCAGCTTCAACCCTTCCAGTTATCTCAAGTTGAGATATAGTTTATATAATTATCTCCTACATTTGCATTGGCTGAGGACCCCCTTGATTATTCTCCCCCTTTTTGGTAGCATCAGATTGGGGAGGAGAGTTAGAAGGAGGTAGAGGAGTACGAGGAGGAGAGTGGGATGGTAGATAAGGATTTGTTGATGGAGGTGGAGGTGGAGGAGGATTATCAACTGGAGAGTCTGGTGGAGTGTCATCAACAACCATATCATCATCATCATCATCATCATCATCATCATCATCACCCAAGTCCATAAGTCGCTTCATTGTATCCACATCTCTTTCAACTTTACTCAACCTTTTACCCATTGATTGAGTAATCTACACAATTAGAGAAAGTTGGGAAAGCACAATAGTCTGAAAGTTAAAGTTGGATTCTTCCTGACTATCCTGATGAAAGGAAGCAATCATGATAAGAGTTGCATAGGAGGAACAGTCTTAACTTGAGGAAGAGGAGACACTGACTTCTCTTGGATCAATGCACTACTAGAATATAGGCCTTTAATGACACGCGGACCATGACACGCAGTGATTTATGATATGCAAATGTGTGTGTCCTAAAAATAATGTCATCTCTTTCAAAATTTAAAGAATTTAGGACAGACATTTTTGCGTGCCCTAAAATTAGTGTCTAAACAAAAAAAATAAGAATGCGGAGGGAACCTATAATAAAATGCGTGTCGTCTAATGATGTCATTTTATAAATTTTAATAGAATGCGCATTCCATCCTTTAATAGCTAGGGGGAAAATGAAATCCCCAAAAATTAAAAACCCTACCTTGTGTTGAAAACCCTCGTCTCCTTTACATGACTGAAAACCCCCTTCTCATCAGATTAATGTTTGGAGCTATCTCCCTATTTTGCTGAGATTGTTGTAAACTGAAACATTCTTAAACCAGGGGATTCAGTTAAATACCATAACCCAAACACGTTATGGTAATTGGGAGCCAATTAGGGGAAAACAGAACCCTCATACCACTTTTGCTCTCAAGAATCCTCAGGTACGTACACTTTTTCTCCTCTTCCTATCCTATTCTTTTCCGTACGCTTTCTTCTCTATTACTCACTGGTGGTCGTTGTTGCTGCTTTCTTCGACCAACCCTCCCTTTCTTTTTCCCCAGCCTAAAAGCATCTGTCGACGACCTCTCCGCTTCATCCATTTAACAGATTGTCGATCACTGTCTCTATGATACCATCAACCGCTCCAGACTTGTGAACAACATGTCTAAATCTCGTGTCCATGTGGATCTCAACGTTGTTCGCCCTAAGGAATACTGGGATTACGTAGCACTTACTGTCCAGTGGGCGTAACCTAACTAAACCCTAGATTTGACATTAATGTTTGTGATTTATCTCATGATATGAATTAATAGACAAAATAATTTGATTTATGTGTAGCAACTTGTCTTAGTTTGATTGGAATTGGTTTCAAATTATGACTAGTGTTGAGATTTGCTTACAATTACAACTTTGTTTTGCATTTTCTGGTTAATGATGTTTTTTTTAATAAAATGCAACAGTTTTAGAGGCTAAATCATAAAAAGATGACTCTTCAAGTGGTTAATTCCAAACTATAGTGGGTTTTATACAATTCAATGTTTTTTTTATGGAATTTGGACTTTAGTTATTTCCATGTTTTGAAACTTTACAAAATTATTTCTGGATTGCCATAAAGAGCAGTGGCTCTAGAGGCCAAACAAACGTGAAGATACTTTTTTCATTTGTCCTATAATAACACTGTTCCTTTCAAGTCACTCTTAAACCTGTTGACTGATTCAATGGGTAAGTTTTTTTAACACGAGAGATGTTTATGTGGCTTGCATCCGACACATAATCTAATGACACCGCACATCTTCAACCATATAAATATTCGTGATCCTCGCTTTAAATCATCTCCAAATGATGTGTCAAATATATGCCACATTAGCAAACCTGGGCAAAAAATTAATGAGTGATCAGAGTGGAGCTCCTTTTTCTATTAAACTTCAAGTTGTTATAGTCTTTGAGTTAAAACATGTTTCCTTAGGTGAACCGCTTATATTTATTGTAGTTGCACTTATGAAGAATATAGCTTCTACCATACAAGTAAGTCAACATATCCTTCATCACGCGACCATTTAATTTAAGTTTTTTTGGGTAATAAATAACTAGAAATTGTTGGCATTACTGGAAGTCTTGTGGCATGATCCTCCTACACCTGAGCCCGAAGCAAGTACTACATTATTTTACTCTATTTCATCAACTCAAGTACATCATTTTTTATTTCACATTTTTGTTTTTCCATTGTATATATAGATATAGATAAAGATTTCATTTATTTATAACTAATACATAATCATGGGTGTCATTCATTTGAAAAATACAAATAACTTTTTTATGTTTGTAGCCTAGCTTAGCAAGAATCGACTTAGGGAGATTTTTGATAAAATGAGTGATTCATGTGGTGAAAAAAGGCATGCCAAATATATATATGTAAGTCAAATAGCAATATACTTCATTGCAAAACTAATGTTGGTTGTTAGTTATATTCTAGGGCTAAATGAAAGAAATAGCAATGCACTTCCATTTATTTGTTTATAAAAGTATCCTTCTATCAATTATTCATGATTCTTACCACTATTTCTGACTCCATTCATATGTTTCTCTCTCTCTCTCTCTCTCTCTCTCTCTCTCTCGAATTTTACAACCCTAAGCCCTATCCCAGGCTTCATGCAGTGGCTCCAGTCTAAGTTGGCATCATCTAAGAGATGTGTCCCCATATTCAGTGAGAACATCCTCCAACCTCATAAGGAAAGAGCACTCCTGGATGCGTATGTGTAAGATGAATTTTTATTTGCACAACTTTGACCATGCTTTGATCTCTAGTTACAAATATGATCAGTAGAAAATGGTGAAAGGTATTAATAATTTAATATTAATTAATACACTACTAATCAAATCTTTCCTTATTAGTATATATTTATTTATTTATTAACAATTTTGAAAATAAATGAAGGGATCATCTGCAACTGAGATTTCGAGTTGAGCGAAATTGTAGTGGTACATTACAACATCTTCAGAAGAACGATATGAGTAAGACATCTTCAAATGACTAAATTCCCCTTTGTCTTTCCTAATATTAACTTAGTTTCTTTGCTGCCTAATGCAGTAGAAGATATACCATGAGTTGTGCTTCAACTCAAGGGGCGTTTTAAAGTGACTGAAGCTGATTTTGCCCCAAAGGTATATAATTATTTACTATTTACTGATCAACAATTGGATTGTATCTTTTTTATTCAATGACTTTGTAAGCATTGAGTTTCAGGCACCAGGTGGCATGCCTAGTCCTTCAACTTCAACTGTACCAGTTACCTCTCTTCTTCCATCCTTACAAAGCATTTTGTAGCATAATACATCACAAAGGGTAAATCACGTTTGACTCTATCATCCCAAATTACAAATTTACCCTCTAGATTGCTGTCTTGAGAACTATTTGATACCATATAGCATATTATTTTGATGGCTTTCCTATTCTATACCTGAAACAAAAAGATGAAAGCATTAACATGTTATCCTAATCTATCCAATTGTATTTGTTTTTGGATGACATTGCTACAACTTAGTATATTTTTTCAAGTATAATTCTATTACATTAATCAAGTGATATTTATATTTCTTCTGTTTTCTTTTGTGTCTGTTGTGCCATTATGGTTAGGTATAAAGATGTATTGATATGTCAAGAAAGCTTCGCTTATTTAAAGATCAAATTTACAAGGCCAGTTTACTATCTTATGTTATGCCTAGGTTGCAAAGATGAATTAAAGAAATGGTTTCTTTTAATAGTATATTTATTGTTTGAAATTGATTTTTTTTGTATGAAACAAAAAGTAGATTAGATGAATGAATGTTGGTAAATTCATTGTATGAAATATATATTTCTGTTATATAATGTATTTTATGTTGTGTTATGAGATATTAATTGTCATTTAATTTGAAAATTAGTAAATCTATAAAAAAATTTATAAAAATTTTAAAATTATGACATGCAATGCGTGTCGTAAATGCGCGCCATAAGGTTACGACACGCAAATGCATGTCATCTTCCTATATGACCCGGGCTTCCTTGATACGTATTGCATGTCATCTATGAGTGTTGTAATTGTGCGTCGTATGTTTATGACACAAAAAAGCATGTCGTCTTTCATTATGATAGGGCCTTCCTTGACAAACATTTGTGTGTTGTCTGAGCGTTTTACAACATGTATTACATGTTGTTAAAGGGTATTTTTTAGTAGTGATGGTTCGCCAATTTTGACAAAAGGAAGGGTTGATCCATGTTGTGCAACATTAACTGCAGAGGGAGTGGGTGAATAAGTAGATGGGAATCAAATATGCTTGTTATACTTGGTGGAGAGTTCCTTGGAGGAGAATTCATTCCCTAAGAAAAGTCTTCTCCTTTATCAGCGATTGATTCTCCTTCATCTTTATCAATGTATACTTCTTAATCATTCCCTTCTTTGTTACCAACTTCTTTATCTCCATCTTATTATCATTCTCATCATCATCATTAGAGTCTGAGGATTCAACCACATAGGGATTTTCAATCCATTTTTGCATCCTCATAGTAATAGGCAAGTCACCTTAAGATGGAGAGGCATTAATAATCTTTGAGGAAAGGAAAGGAATTGGAATGATAATCTCATGACTTTCAACATAGCCTTCGTCTCGAGATAATATCAGACCAAGCCAACGAGGATAAGGAACTTGTAATGGCTTATTGTTCCCAATAATGCAGTCAATCATTGATCAAGAAAAAATTGAGCAAAATCTAGTATTTTGTTGTAAACAATAGAGTACAAGATCTTTTTCTCAAAGAGATTCAATTGATACAAACTCCAAGTCTTGTGTCCAAGACATTTTCCAATCACACATGTTAATTACTTCTATCCCACATTAAAACACCGACGAAGAGTATTCTTGTATGGATCACGAGTGAGGGCCTGAAGTTTGAAATTATACCCTAATTTTTCATGAACAGATTTGTAACTTTCTTCAAAAGGAGTTTTAGAGTAACTTTCAAATCGAGGAAGACAAAGAGCAGTTCAAAAGAATTCCACATTAATAGTAACTGTATATTAACCATCTTCAATGGTTCCAGTAATAGTTTGAGCATCGTTATCAACAAAACATGAATAGCAGAAGGGGTTTCAGAGTACCTTTCAAATCGAGGAAGACAAAGAGCAGTTCAAAACGATTCCACATCAATAGTAACCCTATATTAACCATCTCCAACGGTTCCAATGATAGTTTGAGCATCGGTATCAAAAAAAGATGAATATCAAAACTCACATACTTGTTTAGGGTAGAGTGAATCCGAGAAGTCGCATAACGCATATCGTAGAGGACAGATCTTGATGTAGTTAACGAAATCTTCGATTCCTGACTTTACAAACTGCTTTGGTATTTCATTCGAGAACGCCACATTGGTCGATTGAATGATGATGGGAAGGTCAGGATCATGAGGACCTTTGACGACATTAGTGTTAGGGCAAACTTGCACATAGGTTTCGACATAGTGAAAGCTTTGAGAGAGAAGATGTTTGAGAGATTCCCAATTTATACCTAAAAAGTTTCTTCCATTTTATGTAATCATGAATAAGGATATATGCGCCGTAAAAATATCGTATTCCAAGATAATGATGGATCTTTTCGTCGTCATCTAAAAAGTTACCTTTGAGATAAGAAAGCTACATCAGTGAGACACGTTGTAACATACACGTTCAGTTACCGTGTTTTGTTAGTTTAAATAAATAATATTATGAAATATTATATGAATTTAAGTGTTGAGTTCTAACAGATAGTTTTTACTAGAAATAAAGTAAAACTATGTTTAGAATCACTCGGAAAATATTGGAAGTCTTATGAGATTCCAATCAAAAGTCAAATATTGAAATTTAACGAAAATATAAAATTTGAAATAAGTAAAATTTTATTATTGAAAACTATAAAGAATCTCGTTAGAAACATTTAGGCGAAAACCTCATCAAAATCCGAGTTATAACGAAGAAGTTATGACTATTTGAAGTATTGCGACAGAACGGGCACGACGTCGAATGACGTAAAAAGTGAGTTTTTGATAAACTACTTTTTAGCCTATATGATCTAAATGAAAGTTGTAGTA